AATGCGGCAGGGAAGTTAGCTGGGGGCGGTAGAAGAAGAAGCAGGCAGATCGAGGGACAGGTGAGGCAAGGGGAAGGACGCGAGGGCATAAAGTAGGTGTTTTGTACCCTACATGCTAGGGCGCTCTCCTAATTATGATCACATGTCAACTGATGAGTCCAATGACTGGTATATGCAGCGGGGACATTACATGCAAGGCCTTGTTCCCATTTCTTAAGTGATGTCTACTGATAGAATTTTATCATATAAATCTATGCTAGAATAACTTCAGTTTAAATGCATAATTTTTGCCAAATATTGTTCTTCTCGGGAGATATTGCGCATGCGCTCGCACCGTTGAAGGCGTGACTGCATACTTGCCGAGGGAGAGAGGGGTGGAAGACTGGAAAGGCGGCAGGGAAGATAGTTGAAGCGGGTAGAAAAAGAGTTATGCTGAGCGAGAGACAAAGGAAGCAAGTGGGAGGATGGAAGGGGATGAAGTTGTAGTTTGGCAGCCTACAGGCTAGGGCGCTCTCCCACAGGCTCATTGAAAAAAAATCATTACATAAATCTATGCCGAGATACCCCCTAGACATATTAAATGCAAATTTATTACAAAATATAACTCATCTGGTGATATATTGCGCATGCATTAACACACTAACGTAGCCAGATTGTGTACTGACTCGAATATATGCAGCGGGGACCTTACATGCAAGGTTATTTTTTCCCATTTCTATATAGGCCTACCAGGGATAAATAATACACTAAAGCTATATTTTATCCTAATACATCAAACATTTGCTGGAGAGAACAGAGAAAAAAACAGGAAAATATTTACTGCTAGGAATATATTGTGTCATTGTGTATACTGTATTTATTTCCCAATTCACTACAAATACCAGGATAATGGCAAATTTTCAATGTAATTGTAATAATTACCATAATATGATTAACATGAAATACCACCTGTGATTACATAACAATATTCCATCTATACATGTATCTACACATACATTACTCAAAACACAACACAAGCATCATCAAAACGGAATATATTGTATCAAAATCAATGTTTATGTTGTGTTTATGTAAAATGCAACAAATGTAAACGTACAGGCACTTAGGAAGCATGTTTCCTGCTAAGTAAATGATGATAAGGCATGATTCCTGCAATAATTTTAACGTATAAATCAACAAAATGAATTACACAGGCATATATATATTTACCTCCCGCCAAGGAGGTAATGTAAATGCGGTTTCGTGTGTGTGTTCGTGTGTGTGTGTAGCCAACTAGTTGTTCGCGTGCGATCGATTCGAGACAGGCCAGGTCGCCTTAGGTGCGTCGAGTCAGCAGCAGTTTTCGCCTTAGGGCGTCCAGGCTAGCAGCAGCTCGCCTTAGGGCGGTCCAGTCAGCCAGCAGACCCAGCAGCGACCAGCTGTTATAACCAGCATACATGTTAATGCTGGGAAGGTGATGGCACTCTCGTGAGTGCCTCTGTCTAGTTAATCATAATAGTGGCATGTGTTGCGGGGTGTTTGTGTGTGTGTGTGTGTGTGTGTGTGGTGTGTGTGTGCAGTCGTTGCGTGTGTGTGCGTGTGCGTGGTGAGTGTCTGTTGTGTGTGCGGTGTGACGTGTGCGTGTGCATGTGTGTGTTGTGTGTTGTGTGCGTGTGGTGTGCATGTGTGTAGTTGTGGCTCTGCGGTGCGTGGGCGTGCGTGATGTGTGTGCGCACGAGAAGATTATGAATAGGTAACGATTACGGTAGCCCGATTAGTGAAGATCAATACAGCAAAGTGGAAATTCACTCCACTAAAGGATCATAGGTGAGAAAACTATGAATAACCAAATACAGTGTAAGCACGATTCTTAATATGAAAATATAGGCTTCATGTTCGCGCAACAAAATCAGATCCCACAATCGACTATCACATCAATCAAACATCACATAACACATTCGATCACTGCAATTACAAACATAACGTCTGCTCGATAGTTCCGATATGGAGTAGTTGTGATTGCGTGCATGGCACACTGTGCACGCCGGGATGATATGAGTAACGACTTGTTGTTTTAGGCTCATGCATTGAGAATGGTGGGAGAATTGGCTGTATGCTCTCTCTCTCTGGTGCACACGCACACGCGCACGCAACGCACCGCAACGCACTAGCAACCACGCACACGCTACAACTACCGACTCCAAACTGGATGTGTAGCCCGAGCAAAGGTTGTTATGCTGGAATTTAAATGTCAGCTTTACAAGACGTGGCCAGTGTTGCTGGTATGTTCTCACGACTGACGAAGAGCGTGTGCAACATGTACGATGAGCTCATCACGCGTCGGGCGAATGAGAAATAATATCGACAGGAAAGAGTTCACATAATATCACAGTACATTTCACGCGTCGGTGAACGGCCACCATCGCAGATTTCGTATGGCAGCCGGGAGCCGTGCTACGTCTTACTCGCTCACGAGGGACCTAGGTGGCTCGCCAGCATCCGCTCTCAGATGCTTCCTTTTCCGCATCTCGTCGTGGTGAACTTGCCTGTCATCTCTGGTTCGACGCACGTGCGTGTACGGCCAATCCGAAGCCGACAGCAGACAGCGTTGCTTATCCACCACAGCAGCGACTTTAACTTCCTTGTAGTAACCAGCAGCAAGCAGAGTCTTGCGCACAACTGCCTTATCGCCGTGCCACTGATGTTGTGAGTGAGTGGCGACGTCACCTGGATTTGAAACCCTGTAAGTAACCCATGCGCAAAGCCCTGGCCCCCAGAAGAAAAAGAACCCCCAAACTGATTGTCAATTCAGTGTCCAGAACGTTGGGGTTAGTCGTAAGTGTGAGAAACTGGAGACCACAGCCGGCCTCGCGCTGAGGCAGAATCAGGGGTAGAAGCAGATGCTCGGTTGACGTTGTTGTAGCAGCGTTAGACTCCATATGTTAATCGGCCGACAAGCATGGCTAGACAGCTACATTTCTTGTGGTAGATGCGTTCAAGCGAAACGCAAAGACTGGCAAGTACTCAATAACAACTCCATCACCTGAGAGTGTGCCTACAATTCAGAATGCAACGTTATTACAAAGCTAAATATTACTAACACCGTGTATGCATTGGTATTCCAACGCACATCATCAACTTGTTATGATTAACTAACCTCTGACATGATAGAAATTGATAAACTGAAAACTAAAGGCCATTTCGACAGACTTCCTGACCGTTTCTTGTATTTTTCCGGACCATGGTGAAATACTTAATTACATTAAATACGGTAATTGTCCTCAGACGAAAGACAGCGTATACACTGCATAGGCTAACGTGTTTTAAGAGACCTCCGTACCATTGTTACTTTCACAGAAATATGAAGTTCTGAAAATGTCGTTCAATGAATTTTGTGTGTACATTCTTGGGTGACGCATTCACATATGACCAGGTCTGTTTCTCAGAGTCCCTGTCCCTAACTTTGGTTAATGATAACTGCGATTAAGTAGTAGCAGATGCTTAACCAGTCTGACGATTCTACTAATCCAATCAATGAGATGGCAGTTTTTTCCTGATGGCTTGCAATTTCAAAGGAATTGTCAATGTGGAAAAGAAGTTGGCAACGCTAGTTTGCTATTTCTATCAATTATATAACGACTATAGCACAAAACCCAATGATATATTTTGGTAGTGGAGTGGTCAGTAACATGTTCGCTAGTAGGCGACTCGCCATATTTTGCAATATTTTCCCAGATTGTTGCACACATGTTAAGAGAGTAGATCCTTTCAACCCACATATTTTTTATTGAAACTGCACTAAACACTATGAAATCTTTCTCCAAGATAAGCTGTATTGATAGTTGTATAGTTGGAGATACCATTTTAGATATACCTGTGACATTTTCTGATCGCACCAAGAAGCGAAATCGCAGCAAATGATGGTTAGACGGCACAGCAACCGATATTCAACGAGTGATCTGCCTTCAGAATCCGTACGTTAATGGCCTACAACAAATCCCAATTATCCAAGCTCATAAGCAGGGTTGATGAAGCCTATAAAATCTAGGTTTGTAAAATTTGTCCGAATACTGATTTGATCGGATTGTACTCATGTTAGATCTTGTAATTGCATTGATATTTTTTAATGGCACGACACTCGGGCTTCTGCATAAAAAATACCATTTGTACAAATACAATGGTTGGCTGTGCTACAGAAAAAAGTTGTACAATACAGTAGCCAAAGTTAAATACGGTCCGTCAGAGAGATTTCACAGATAATAGAACTGCCATCTCCCACATGACTGTAGACAAAGATTGTTGAATGTCCATCATTGCAACGAAATCCAATAGATAGGGGCAGTACCTGATAACAAAGAACTTGTCGTAGAAAAACTCCAGCATGGACTTTTAAAATTTCAGCCCCTGCAAGCACCCCTGGCAGCCCATGCGCAGACTAACACAACATAGTGGCAAGAGTAAATGCACATCCACAACGTAATGCACGCACCGCACGCTACGCACGCACTCGCCATGCTATCACACACAGCATAGCATACGTACTCACAGACACATCATCAAACTATAGCTGCCGAGCGACTCGTCAGATTCAATCTTGAAACTCTGGAAGGTGATGAATTCGAAAACCATTTGCTGCGTAGCAAATGTGGCATCACAGAGCCAGCGCATTATCACAACACTGGTACAGGTGATGAACCAGGGGTGCGATCTCAGCGTAAGTAAATAAGAAGGAATAGATTATTAGGGCCTGTAACGATCGACCAAAGGAAATCGGAATCGAGATTCTCTTCCCATCGATCGCGGATCCTCGGATATTTATTCCCCGTATTTTCGATTCCATGACTTTCGATACAATGTTTTCCCTCCAATAGATGGCGGCACTACGCTAATGATAAGACGGCTGTGGAAGGGTTACCAGAGCAATAGAAATTCAACTTGATTTATGTGTGTGTGTGTGTGTGTGTGTGTGTGGTGTGTGTGTGCGTGTGTGTGCATGTGCGTGTGAGTGTCTGTTGTGTGTGCGTGTGCGTGTGCATGTGTGTGTTGTGTGTCTGCGTGCGTGTGCGTGCGTGCATGTGTGTGCGCACGAAATTATGAAATAGGTAACAAATTACTGTACACGATTAGTGAAGATCAATACAGAAAAGTGGAAATCACTCCACTAAGGTCAATGAGAAAACTTGATATACACAAATCCAGTGTAAGCACATTCTTATAGAAAATATAGCTTCATGTTCCGCCAACAAAAGTCAGATCCCACAACGACTATCACATCAATGCCAACCACTAACACTTCGATACACTGCATTACAAACATAACGTCTGCTCCGACTATTCCGATATGGCAGTAGTTGTGTTTGCGTGCGTTGCACACTGGTGCACGCGGATGATTTAGTAAGACGACTTTGTTTTAGCTCATGCATCTGAATGGTGGGAGATTGGCTGTATGCTCTCTCTCTCTGGTGCACACGCACGCACGCACGCACGCACGCACGCACGCACGCACGCACGCACACACACACACACGTCAAACTGATGTGTAGCCGAGCAAAGGTTCGTTATGCGGGAATTAAATGTCAGCTTACAAGACGTGGCCGGTGTTGCTGGTAGTTTCTCTGACTGACGAAAGAGCGTGCACATGTACGATGAGCTCGTCACGCGTGCGAAATGAGAAATAAAATCGACAGGAAAGAGTTCACATAATATCACAGTACATTTTCACCGCGTCGGTAACCCACCATCGCAGATTTCGTAATGGCACCGCCGTGGCACGTCTTCTCGCTCACAGGGGTACCTTAGGTGGTCTCGCAGCATCCGCTGTCAGCATCTCCTTTTCCGCATTCTCCTGGTGAACTTGCTTCATCTCCTGTCGACGCACGTGCGTGTACGCCATCGAACCGACAAGCACGACAGCGTTGCTTATCCACCACAGCAGCGACTTTACTTCCTTGTAGTAACCTACAGCAAGCAGAGTCTGCGCACACGCCTTCGCCGTGCCACTGATGTTGTGAGTCAGTGGCGACGTCACCTGGATTTGAAACCCTGTGACGTAACCCATCGCAAAGCCGAAAACCCCACTGATTGTCATCAGTGTCCAGAACGTTGGGCTTCGTAAGTGTGAGAAACTGGCGACCACAGCGGCCTCGCCGCTGAGCAGAATCAGGGGTAGAAAGCAGATGCTCGCGTTGACGTTGTTGTACAGCGTTAGACTCCATATGTTATCACCGACGCATGGCAGCACTTTCTTTGTGTAGATGGCGTTCAGCGAAACGCAAAGACTGGCAAGTACTCCAAATACAACTCCAATCACTGAGAGTGTGCCTACAAAGATTCAGAATGCAAATTACAAAGCTAAAATATTACCAACCTGTATCATTGGCTATTCAACATTTGCATCAACTCTTATAATTAACTGACCTCTGACATTAGAAATTGATAAACTGAAGACTTAAAGTGACGATTTCGAACAGACTTCCTGACCTATCTTGTATTTTTCCGACCATTAAAATACTTAAATTACCATTAAATACGGTATTGCTCGCGAAACAGCAAGTATAACACTGCAAGGCTAACGTGTTTTAGAACACTCGTACATTGTTACTTTCACGAAAATATGAATTTCTGAAAATGTGTTCAATTGAAATTTCTGTGTTGACATCTTGGTGACGCATTCACGATATGATGCCACAGGTCTGTTTCTCACGAGTCCCTGTCCCTACACTTTGTTAATAGTAACTCGCATTAAGTAATATTTCGAGATGCTTTACCAGTCTCAATCTACTATATCACTCAATGAGATGCAGTTTTTTCTGATGGCTGCCAATTTCAAAGGAATTGTCATGATGAAAAAGAATATGGCATCGCTATTTGCGTATGTGGCATCGGTATGTGGCATCGGTATTTGCTATTTTATAATATATACCATAATAGCACAAACCCATGATATATTTTATAGTGGAGTGGTCAGTAACATGTTCGCTATTAGGCGACTCCATATTTTGCAATATTTTCCCAGATTGTGCACCCATGTAAGAGATAGATCCTTTCAAGCCCACATCATTTTTTATTGAACTGCACTAACACATGAACTTTCTCCAAGATAACTGTATAAAGTTGTAAGTTGGCAGAAACCATTTTAGAATACCTGTGACATTTTCCTGATCGACACCAAGCAGAAATCCAGCAATGATGGTTAGACAGCACAGCACCGATTTCACAGAGGTGATCTCCTTCAGAATCACGTACGTTAATGCCTACAACAAATCCCAATTAGTCCAAGAGCATAAGCAGGGTTGATAACCTATAAAATCTAGGTTCGTAAAATTTTTCAATACTGATTTGATCGGATTGATACTCATTTAATTCTTTAATTGCATTGATATTTTTAATGCACGACCATGGCTACTGCATAAAAAATACCATTTGTACAAATACATGGTTGCTGTGCTACAAAAAAAACAATTGTACAAATACGTACCACGTTAAATACGGTCGTCAGAGATCTTCCAACATAATAGAATGCCACTCCCACATACTTTAGACAAAGATTGTTGAATGTCATCATTGCAACAAATACAACAGATAAGGGCAGTACCTGAAACAAAAGAACTTTCGTAGAAAAACTCAGCATGGACTTAAAATTTCAGCCCCCGCAAGCACCCCCGCACGCACACGCAGACTAACACAACATATTGGCAAGAGTAAATGCACATACACACACGTATGCACGCACGCACGCACGCATGCACTCGCACATGCACACACACCCATGCATACGTACTCACAGACACATCATCAAACATACCTGCCGAGCGATCGTTAGATCAATCTTGAACTCTGGAAAGGTGATGACATTCGGAAACCATTTGGCTGCGTAGCCAAATGTGGCACACAGAGCCACAGATACCACACACTGGTACCAGGTGATGAACAGGGGTGCATCCAGCTGTAATAAATGAGAAGGAATAATTATTAGGGCTGTAACGATCCACCGAAATCGAATCGGATCGAGATTCTCTTCCCTCGATCCGATCCTCGATATTTTTCCCCGTATTTTCGATTCCACTTCGATACCACTTTTTCCCTCCAATAGATGGCGGCACTACGCTATATACTGTGGAGTGTTACCAGAGCATATAAATCTGATTTATATGCTTTTGTGTTATGCTGGGTTTACACTATCGATTTTTGTCAGCAAATCGTACCGATTTCAAGTGCAACACAATCACCGTCCAACACAATGGGCTGAAATTCGATTGTGTTGGTGTCGGAGTGCGAGACAAGTCGACGAGTTGGCGAAATAGAACGTGTTCTATTTTGCTCGACTCGGATTCGTGAAATCGGCGAGTTGGATAAATCTAATTGGCTTAAAAACTTTCACGTAATACCTACTTCCTCTACTACTTACTATAACGCACATACTTCCTCTTCCTCCATTCTCCAACTTCCAACTGCAGTGTTTCAGTACTGCAGTGCTGCAATCTACATACCGGGGTCACCCACTGATCTTTATAAATAACTATAAAAGTTATTTATAGAGATCAGTGGGGGTCACCCTGGGGACGGCAAGACGGAGAAATTAATCGGTACGATTTGCTGACAAAAATCGATAGTGTAAACAACAGCTCAACACCAACTTCTATTTGGGTCAAGTCGGGGGGCAAAGTTGGAGTCGCTTGAAATCGGCACGATTTGCTGACAAAAATCGATAGTGTAAACCCAGCTTTACTCACCAATGTTACTCAGTGACTGTGTAGTGTATATATACTCTCTAGACTCTCTAGTCTATTCACCATTTAGTATTCATTGGCAATTTCTAATAATTTATTATTGCAAAATAATGAAAATATAAAAAACAAGATAACATTTCAATATTTTGGGAATCGAATCGAAG